TATATATATATATATATATATATATATATTAATATCAAATAAAATATTTAATACTTGTTGTTTTTATGTAATTTATTTTGATTTAACTTTTTTATTGTAATTTGATTTAAGTTTAATATCGAAGTAATTGGTTCAAGGATATAATTTTTTATAACGATGATAATTAGGTATTCAGTTAGAATTCTATGATTATCGTAATTATATTTTAGACATTTATATTTAAAATGAAATGTTTATCTTGTATATGATTATGTTCATCTGCAATTAGTTACACAAATAAAAAAATGAAGCTTTAATACATTGTACTTACGCATTATTTACTTGTAATCTTGAATTTTTTGTAAGGGAAAAGTCCAAAAAAACTCAATGGACTTTACTGTTTGGAACGATTAAGTCCTTGGATAATTTTTTGGAACAAATAAATCATTGGACATTTTAAAACCTGTTAAATAAGTCCTTGGACTTTACAAAACCTGGACTTTCTAAATTATGTTAAATACATTTTGTTAGTGAAAAAGGAACGAAAAAACAATGGATTTTCATATTTTGAACGATCAAGTTCATAAATATTTTTTGAACGAAAAAAGTACTTACATTAAAAAAAACAAATATACCATTATCATTACTATTCGTAAAATATACAAAAGTTGTATCCAAAGCATAATAATCTGCATACAAATTTTGGACATAATTTTACCAAAAGTAAAACCAAAATATATACCAAAAGTTGAACCAAAGTATGTAAAAAAAGTTGCGCAAAGAAAATACTAACAATTGCGCCAAATATACCAAAAGTTGCGCCAAAAAATACCAACAATTGCACCAAATATACCAAAAGTTACGCCAAAATATACCAAAAGTTGCGCTAAAATATACCAAAGTAATGCCTAATCTATGTCAAGGTCATGGTATGAACTATTCTTCATTTGCACTATTAAATTCTGGTGGAGACATAGCCATTTGACTTTCTTGTAAACCTTCTTGATGTCTAACAACATCACCACTTTCATGATGTTCTTCATCACCAACAGTAGTATCATCTTCATCACGGTCTTCATCGTTAACAACAGCCTCTCTTGAAATTGAATACGGTAGGATGCCTTCGGGCCATGYTGGTTGTGGCACACCTGAAGATGTCTTTAATGATAAAAATAAAGTGTAAGCAATAGTCATAAAAATGTTACTTGAATATGAAAAAACAAATAATGGCTTACCCCAATCATTGCTTCTCCCGTGACTGGATTATAAGAGACCCATACATATGATGGTATCCTCCAACCTCTATTGCCTCTTCCACCTCTATTGGCTCTTCTTGTTGTAGTCGGTTTTGGAATGTTGAGTCTTGGTCTACCTTTTGGCTTAACAAGTTTAGGTGGTGGGTTCTTCTTTTCATTCTTACAAGTTCTAGCATTATGTCCCGTTTCCAAGCAATTGCTACATGTTATTGCCTTCCCATATTGAGTCACCCTTGTACTTTGGCTCTCAGATTCTGATCTTTTTCTTCTGATGGATGGTCTACCAGGCATTCTTCTTTCCTTGGGTGGGTTTGGTTTGGTGTAAGGTGTTGGAGTCCACATGTTGCTCCCATTCAATGGTCTTATAGTATTCTCATAAGCCATTTTGAAGAGATCCTTAGTAAACCATTTACTAACATAATCCTTTGGATCTTTATTGATAAAGTGTATGGCAGCAATAGAATGCACACAAGGAATGTCTGATATATCCCACAATCTACAACTACATTTTCTAGCATCTAACTCTACCACCATTGCTTCAAAACCATTTCGTGTTTCAAATACATTCCCACCACTAGGAATAACATACCAGTATCTACATATGAAAAAGAATACATTAGCATACAAGATCATATTACCATCATAGACAAGCATACATAATAAAATTACCATCATAGATAAACATTCTTGTGATTTTCTCCCCATTTCTTTAACTTTTTTCTTATGGCCGGACAAACAACTGATTCCCATTCTTGTGCTTTGCTTAACATTCTGTAATGTCTCT